ACAGAGACCATCTTGTATCCTGGAAAAGTAAGAAGCAACTTCTAGTTTCGAGATCTTCAGCAGAGGCTGAGTATCGTGCCATGGCTCAGGGTACTTGTGAGATTCTCTGGTTTTGATCTTTCTTGGAGGAGCTAGGGCTAAGTGAAAAATAGTCCTCAGACTTGTTTTGTGATAATAAGTCAGTCATCATGCTTGCTTCAGATTCTGTTGTTCTTCATGAGAGGACTAAACATATAGTGGTGGACATTCATTTTATGAGAGAGAAGGCTGTTCGGGAATTATGAAGCCGTGCTTTGTTCGGTTCTCTAATTAGTCGGACGATGTGTTCACCAAATCTGTTGGTCTATCTTTGCTTCATTCCTCGATTACCAAGCTGGGTTTGATTGATATCTTCATTATTTTTATTTTTATTTTTATTAGCTGTTTTTAGCCTTTTATTGGGATCACATAGGTTTTGGCATATTTCTTGTTTTTCTTTGATTTGGTTTCATTTCTTTGTACCATATTCTTGTATATAATAGCTCTTAGCACTCGGTTTGAGTAAGCCAAAATTCAAGTAAAAATAAAGACAAATTAAAAACAAAAGCCAATCCATCTCTGCACCAAATGAATATAACTCTTGCCTCTTGGTATTATAACTGTTGTCTCTTGGTATGCTAACTATAATAACACACTTATTGGTTCATTTACTTGACAAGTATTGTGTTTCTAATCATGTTTGGGATCAAAGGGAATATAACACTTGCTTCTTAGTATTATAACTGATGTCTCTTGGTATGTTAAATATAATGACACACTTGTTAGTTCTTGCTTGTTAATAATTCAAAACTAAAAAATGTAATTGTAAAAAAAAATAGTATAAAAATGTATAGAAATACCCAAATTTGCTCACACTTTTAATAGTAGTATTTATAGATAGATATAGATTTATATGTATATGCATATATATCTACATACCAATCAAATGGATCTGAAATATATATATATATATATATAATAATAATAATAATAATAATAATAATAATAATAATAATAATTTTATGTAATGTGGTATATTATATCATCTTCACCAAAGAAAATTGAACAAGTACATTCTATAATATACAATAGGGTAAATTACACTCATCCCCCTGAGGTTTGCCCTAATTGCACATTGTGCTGTTAACCAGTCGTTAGAACATCAAATAATATTCATGTATTGACTGAACTGCCATTGGCCTTTTGTGAAAAGACAACAGTAGTGCTATCAAATTACCAGTTTCCCATCAATACGACATAAATTCGCAAGGTTTCCACCTCTCTTTGTCTCTCTCATGTTGGTGGAGCTGGGTAAGTTTTGCTCATTATTCTCTCTTCCTGCTCTCTTGCTATTGCTCTCAAAATGCATCAACATTCACCAATTTCTCTATGTAAATTGCTTTCTAGATATCCTTTTAAGAGATCTGCTGTAGCCCCTTTTCATTTTTCTTTTGTTCCTTCTTTCCATTTTTACAATCTCTACTTATTCTCCTTCGTTATAAATTTGAAGCAATACATAAAGAAGATCTAGAGAGAGAGAGAGAGAGAGAGAGAGAATGGTTTAGGAAGAGAAAGTGTACTGCAAATGTAAAGAAGACCCAAAATTGTATCTGTGATTTCTGTGGTGAGTCTTTAGCTCTCTTGTACTATAGAGCCGATCTAGCCCAAGCTCTACTTCTTTTGTTAATTGAAAAGTGTTCGGATTCATGGTTTGTAAAGATCGGAGACAAGAACCTGAAGGCAGCCCTCGCAAGCGAACAATTGAGCGCGGTGTTGATGACTGCGGCAACGATCTCTTGACCCAACCATAAGGTTCTGTTGGTCAGGCTCGGTTACCCATTACTAATGGTTTATCGTGCACCCTCTATGCCCCTGAATGGGACAACAATGAAGCTTCTAACTAGTGATCCCTAGTTGTCTCATCTTTCCACAATAATCACAGTTTGTCATGTCAACAAGAGTCTGTTCAATCTAGTTCCTGTACATCCCTTTCGTTGAAACTTGAACCTATGTATAAGCTTGTCTCAGGAATGGGAATTGAGTCCCTACCAAAACATGGTCATACACTATGTCAAGACCAACCAAAATATCATTCACCTGCTCCTGTTCTATCAATTAATGAAACTTGGCATTATCTTGCACATTATGTCTTCAAATCTTGGCTCTAATTTAGCTCCTACTATAAACTATTGTGCTTAGATAGGGCACCTGAGTAACCTTGATGTACCTGGGCTCTGAACTGGCAAGGAGGCTACGCCACTCACCTTTTCGGCTCCTAGGTGCGTTTTAGCAGCAGTGGTTGTAAATGAGTGTTGCAGTGTCAGTCAGTATCAAAAAGAAGTGCTAGATAAATTCTTTCTTCCTTTACTTATTGCTTGTCAACATAGAACGATGTCCCATTCGATAGAATTCTTCTAAATAGTATATCTCTCTCCATTATTAGCTGGCGTTTGAGAAGCTCTTTTCTTGCTTATTCTTCATAAATTAGCATTTATATATAGATGTATTAGGATCTGTTTGGAAAATACCCCATATTGTAGGGTTGATCTTGAAAAATATGGAAGATCTCCCTCCAAGCTGGACATATAACTTCCATCGAATATGGCTTTCAATTTATATGAATTATCTAACATGAGCAATAATCAAAAGAACCTTCTTTTCTCCTTTCCTTCTATACGAAACAGAAACAGGGATAAGCCCCCTTTTCTTGTTGAGAGTTTCCCCTTGTATCCATCCTACTTTCTTCCTTGCATTTTCCATCCCTCATTACCAAATGGAGCCTGGTAGTGCACCTTTGGGGGATGCTCCTGGAACAACAAATTGGAAGACAATGGTAATGCAATAAAGTGGTAGATGTGGAAACATCTAGAATTGATGTCCATGTCATTAAAAATTTCTAGATCAGAGAAATTTACATCACATGGTAGATGCAATGTATACAGAACATTGTTCAATCATTTTATCTAAATTTTCACTCAATATTAAAATTGGAATTTTAAATTAGCCAATTAATTGTCAGGCTATTTAGTATTAGAGTGGTCTTTAATGTCGTTTTAAATTTTAAAAAATGTTTAGATATGGTGCATATTTTTGAGTAAATCTTCCATGTGAAATTACTGAGGGCAGGCCTTGGTGCAACAGTATGGTTGCTCCATTTTGACTTCGAGGTTACGGGTTCGAATCAACAAACAATCTCTATGCATGTGGAGGTAATGCCACATACATTTGACCCTCCCTAAACCCTGCAATGGTGGGAGCCTTGTACACTTTGCTCTTCCTTCTTCCATGTGAAATTACTAGAATCACGATACTGGCACAAGTCAGTTTTTATTTTTATTTTTTTATTTTTTCTGAAATAGAGTAGCTCTACTGATTTACTTATTTAGAAATGTAACGCCAAGTTTCAACACATATAGTTTGTCGAACAATATTTTCTAAACAAACCAATTGCTATTTGAATTGATTTTGCAACAGATCTGCTACAGAATGAATATGCTCATCTTTCAAATGATTCATATCTTCAACTGTAATTGTTCCAAATATCATTCCAATAAAATGATCCGCGAGTATTTCCTTTTGGAAAACCAGCGTTTTTCTTATTTCCTCTTTTGCTTGTGAGACTTGAGAGGGTTCTAATATATCAGAGTGCACCGATTAATTAGACCTAGAAGAGAAGAGGGAGGTTAATAGATCTTATTGATATTAGTCCAATTTTAATTTCCCTTTTGAATTGTTGTTGATTGTGATTTTAATTGAGTTAAATTTAGTGATTATCATGCATTCACACAATCACACAAACATAAACGCAAGCATAGGGAGAGGAAGCAGAAACGCCAAACTTTGTATGTGAAAACTGCTATACGGGAAAAACCACAGGACCTAGGCTAGTCATGAACAATCCGATATGAGGGAAAGAGGTTGCAGACTAAGTTTTTAGACTCAAATACCATGAATTCCTTAGTCCCTTTTGATTTAGGCTAAACCACCCCTGATCCTTTCGCTGTAAATCCGTCAACCGATTTGCACTCATGAACTTTGCTTCTCAATGGGTTTTTTAATCTTTCTGCTCTTGATTTGTTGACTGGTTCTTTAACATTAACTTTTCAGATTTCCTTGTTTATTTTCTCTCAATTACATATAATAATTAACCTAGGAAAAGTTGAAAACCCTAGATTGAGAAAACAAGGCTATATGTCTATCTAAAATATATGGGGTTCTTTCTTCTCTCACTTAGAGACTCTTAATTCTTTCCCTAGACTGACTTTTGCCCTATATCGATCGATCGAGTGTCTGACCGATACCTTCTGGGAACCTCCTGATCGACTGACACTTCTGTTGGGGAATATTGGTTTACAAAGTAGGTTTTTGATTTTTTTTAATGGATCCATCTATCAATTGAGGCATTCTGGAAGCCTTCGACAGATCGACCATGCTTTCAAGCTATAGAGTTTTTCACTATAAAAACCTTTTAAAAACTTTGCAAAATACTTTGATTCGAAAGATTGATTTTGAGAAACAAACTTAGAAAATTATTCTGAGTTTTATCAAAATGAAATATAGGTCAATTTAAGTCTTCTATGGTCTCATTTCTTTGTACTTTAGATATTTGACTGAGCATTCGATCGTTGCACCGTGTTCTGAGTCTTGATCTCCAACGTATTTTAAGATTGTAACCAAGCAACTCAAGATACTGACACAATACAACCCAAGTTTTGAGTAGGAAATTGCCAACACGACTGATATTCCTGAGATCTCAATTTCTATTGACATTATTATTCATGATCTTTCTGTCATTTGCAATTTAGTAGTGCCTTATTTTTAAATGATGAATGCAGATTCAGTTTTATCTTATTTGCTCAAGAAAACAATTTTTAATTTTAATTTTAATTTTTATTTTTTATTATTATTTTTTTTTTTTCTGAAAAATAAATTTTGCACTCTTATTTGGTTTGAACATACTGCCTTTGGATTTTTTCATTCAGGGATCTCTCTCACAATGGCTTGACATGCCAAATCTTAAACTTGAGGTCTTCCCATTTCCGGAAGCTTAACATGATTGGGAAGTTTATGCAGTTGCGCATTCTTAACCTGGATTTCAGCAGTTCACTCACTAGTTTCCGGGAGGATTGTTTTACTTGTATGCCAAATTTAAAGTGCCTTTCGTTGTGCGAGACGAGAGTTGCTAATCTCTGGACAACTAGTACAGCATTGTCTAAACTTCCCTCTTTAGTGGAACTCCGCTTTCAGAAATGTAAGTGTTGCGATGACACAGGAAGTTGTCCTGCATCACCTTCTGGGGGGAGTACTGATTCAGATCAGCTGGAAACTGGACTTCACAATGGTGCACTATCTTTTGATGCTGACGAAATCATAAATCAATATTCAGACACAGAAGCGGAAATTACAAATATGTTTCTGGACCATTATTATTCTATGAATGACGAAGTTGAAAGCACACCTGAGGATTCGTCAGATGATAGTGAAGTCGAATTTTCAAATCGCCATCGGGAGCCCAGTCTGGTGGAGCTCCTGTATCTGCAAAACGAGGTAAACAGATGTTATCACATATATATTTTTTTCCAGAAGGTGATGTTATCACATCTTTGATTGGTGCATCCAGTGGTTTCAACATGAAAATGTGAAATGGTTGTTTGGATGGCACAACATTGGTTCATTGATTGTAACATTGTAATGATATTTCTCAGAAGGGTAAAGTCACCTACTTTGAATCTTTAGCATATGTTGTTGAGCTCCCTCTATGTTGATTGACATGAGGTCCTAAGTTTTTGTTGATCCTTCGTAAAGTTTTTGGAATAGATGATATCGTAGTCTTTTGTGGTTTGGTCTGATATCTGTGTATCAGCTGTTTGTACATGGGTTTCACCCTCTTTGGTGCTCTTAGTGAAATGCTGTTACCTGTCAAAAAAGAAAAATAGTTCTATGTTACAAATTTATGTAGTTGCACATGCAGATATGCAGGATCATTTGTATGAATTAAAAGAATGGTGATGTACCAAAATATAACATAGTCACCTACAAATCTATTTTGGCTTTTGAAGAATGATTTTATTTCTTAAAATGCTCTAGAATATGGTGCCAACAACGCTTTCTTCCCCCTCTTTTTCAACATGGGCACAAATACTTAATGGTTTCTATTCTGTTATACCAGAATCTGTTTGGCACATTGGGGATGCAAAGTGAAGAGTCCTCGTCAAGTTCTTCTAATTGTAGACATATCTCATCTATTGTGCCAAAGAAGTATATTTCTTATCATCCTTCGCCAATATGCTATGAGAAACACTATAGGGAGTACATGATAACGTCATTGCCCAATTTGAAAGTTCTCGATAACTTGCCCATCAGAAATATTGACAGGCAGAGAGCCAATATAATTTTTACTCAGTACTTTGAGTACCTTCCTTACAGAAGGAAGAATAAGGAAAGTGTTGTTAGTATCTTGCAGAAGCGTGAAATTAAAGCAAGCCGCACTTGCACGGAAACCTGGAGGCAGAAACCATCCTATGTTTCAGGAAATTCTAAGCATTTCTATTCCAGGTCACTTTGTGCTGCCAAAGTGGGTTCTTCCCCTTGGCCTCTTTTGCATCCGCTTTCTATCTTTTGCCACATATCAGGAGAAGAAAGGAGTTTTCGTCCACGGCAGTTTGAGTACCATCCATCTGACTCTAGCCTAATGGTTTTTGGAACTCTGGATGGTGAAGTAGTTGTTATCAACCATGAGAATGGGAATATTGTTAGTTATGTTCCATCACGGGGAGCCATGAACAGTGTGCTGGGATTATGTTGGCTCAAAAAGTATCCTTCCAAGGTATGTCGTTTCCAGTTTGAAAATGATTCATAGAAATTAAAGATGTATTTGTTCACCATTGTGTTCCTGTAATCTCAGCTCTTCCTTTTTTTATTTTATTTTATTTTTATTTTTGTGTCCTTGTTATTCTTGCTGTTCAAAGCTTGCTACATCACCGTTCTCCTGAATTAATTTAGTTCTAAATACAGTGACGTGGCATGCTCTGTTCAATAACTTCAAGGTTTGTTGCAGGGCATAAATGCATTCTGAAAATTCTTCAGTCTAAATTGTGGAATTATGCTTTTAAAATGAAATCGTGAATTTGCACCGGTAAATCTTTTCTTTAAGTTAGCACGAAGGTGCAAACTGTGGTGGAATTTTATGATGCATGATGCACATGCATGTTACTGGTTATGCACTGTTGTTGCTCCACAATTGGGACCTAACTTATCTTTGTTCCATATCATGTTCATAACTTCATTTCAAAGGCAATGAAATTCCAGAAAGGTTGCCAACACATGTTTGAATCTAATTATTAATCTAGACTTTCTGTCATGCGTAATAAAGTTTTAGCTGGAACCTGACAGATTATGGGGGCCAGCCCTATCTATATGCATGATTGCCAAAGAGCCTGCTAATGCAGCAACATGGACTTGATGTATGATTATGCCTCTGATATTGCCAAAAAGGATTTTGTAATACTGCGTAAACCCCCTCTTAAGTAAGTGCTTATCTATGAGATAAAAATGCTCCTGAGGGCTTTTTAGGGTTTAAGTTTTACGGATTCATCCTTGGCAATCTGGCTACCATACTTTGAGCTGTTGAATATGTTAGTAAATTTTCTTTGGTGCCAATGTTATTCCTGATAAGTGGTACATTTGATTTGATTTTAACCTGTTCCTTTGTGATGCTGAATTGCAGCTCATAGCTGGTTCTGATAACGGTTCACTGAAATTGTATGACATCCAACATATGACAACAAAAAATAAAGAGATCTATTGCAGCGCTGGTTCTGTTACTTTTGATGAGTTTGATCAATTAACATCTGTTCATGTCAACTCAACGGATGAACTTTTTCTTGCAAGTGGATACTCTAAACATGTTGCTTTGTATGACATTAGCAGCGGAAGACGCTTGAATGTGTTCACCGACATGCATATGGAGCATATTAATGTTGTTAAGTTTGCAAACCATCACCCATCTGTTTTTGTGACTTCATCCTTTGATCGGGATGTTAAAATGTGGGACTTAAGACAAAAACCAATTCGGCCTTGCTATACAGCCTCAAGCTCTCGAGGAAATGTGATGGTTTGCTTTTCTCCAGATGATCACTATATTCTTGTGTCAGCCGTTGACAATGAGGTACTTGTACTATTACTCATCAAAAAAAAAAAAAAAAAATGATGTACTTGTATTATTAATCTACGGTATGAGTAGCAGTGCTTTTATCCCAATTTCGCAAATATCCAATACTAGAACTTGTATTGTTATCATTTGGGTTTAACACTTACAATTCTTGTCAGCCATTGGAAGCCTGGACCAACATATAATGCCTAAATAGTGCATCTGTTAGGACTTCAGACCTTTTATTAGGTTTACTATACATGGAAAAATTTTGGTAGTCAGTTTTACCTGTCCACAGTTTTTTATTCTCTGTTTCTTCCTTTGATTTTTTTTCTAATTTATTTTTATTATTATTTTTAATCCTCTGCGGTTAATTCTTATTTAAGTTATTTTTATATATGCTTTTAAAATTTGGAAGCGTAATCAGATGTTATATCAGTACAGGTCCAGGCTTGATAATACTGGGTCCTATGAGTATAATGTCCAAAATGGATTTTCTATTATCTAACTGAAATAAACATGGTGACATTTTTAGTGGCCGGGATTTATATAAGGGCTCCAGTAACAGGCAATGTTGGCAGGTTAAACAACTATTTGCTGTTGATGGGAGGCTCCACCAGGATTATGATATACCTTCAACAGGAAGCTCCCAAAATTACACCCGTTCTTATTACCTGAATGGAAGGGACTATATTATGAGCGGAAGTTGTGATGAACATGTAGTCCGCATTTGTTGTGCTCAAACAGGAAGGCGGCTGAGGGATATATCCTTGGAGGTAAATTAATTAGTGATTCTTGTGTTTCATGTTCAACTCTAAAAAGGATGGTGCATGAAACGTAGTGACATAGGTAGAATTGGGGGTTTATATGTAACTGCTCCAATATTGAAATAGAAGGGACATACTACTTTTTCCTCAAATAGAGAGAGACCAACACTGGCCGTTTACTTACTTTCTAAATGAATGAATGAATGAAACACTTGGTCTCGAAGCTCTTATTTTAGTTACTATATCTGATCACTTCCACATATGCATTTTTGTATAGATAAATAATATGTCACATCACAAGAATGCATTCCAGAGTTCTTCTATTTTAAAAGTAATACCTGATGCAAAAATTGCATTCAATATTATATGCATAACACTTGCTGGATACTGGTAATAAATTAGAAACATTTTAAAAATTTGAGGATAAAAATTAATGGAAATATGCCAAGAAATGTGCATTAAATATGTACCAAAAAGGTTCATTAAATTAAGCAATATTTTAAATAGGCACGGATTTGATAGTGTGGAAGATGAGTCGATTATAATAAATGTTATGTCCTTAGGCCATGTTACTGAAGTATTTGTGCAATTCAGATGACCATGGCGTGGCATGTTCTTGAAAGTCGCAAACACTATGGCTATGTAGTTTGCTAAACTCGTGTTAGTTATTTACTTTCTAAATATCAATTGGAATTTTTAAATAGGTGAATATCGAATAGGAAAGATCTTGCAAGGACGTGCAATTCTTATCTAAGAAAAGTTTACAAACAAAAAGGGAGCAACTGGGGAAAAAATCATATTACTAAGGAATGGAGCAAGAAAACCAAGAGGAAAAAAAAGGTAAGAAACACACACCTGCAAGGATTTGTATCTGTCTTGGGCAAGTGCCTGAGACAACACTTCTGGGGTACTCTGGACACCTGTCCGACACTTCTCAACCGTACCAAACATTTAAAAATAAAAATTTAAATTTCAAACACATGGGCGACACTTCATTAACACGTGCTACGTGTGAATACTGAACACTGAACATCAAATAGAACTCTGCTTTAATATGGGAAAAATAATACTTGTATGGAAAATTAAGTAAAAAATTATACAAAAATATATATAGTTAGAAAATGTAAAGAAAACTTATGCTTTGTTTGTAGGAGGGATGGAAAATTTGATTGAAGTTATGGGGAGAGATGGATGAGACATCCTTAGGGTAGGGAAGGTGTCTCCCTCACTTTTTGTTTGGTTTAATGGAATGGATGGTAGAAAGGATGGATGAGATGACACCTTTTTTTGTTTGGTTGGGAGGAAGGGAAGGAGTTCCTTCTTCTTCCTTTTTTTTTTTTTTTTTTTTTAAAATATCAAAGCAAACACATACACTCAATATCCACAATATGTCACCAGTGGGATTCTAACTCTCAACCTTCTCCTTTTGAGAGGATAGATCATACCATTGGGCTAGAGGAATTTGTATGGTTTGACAAATAATTTTATAAATACTTGAAGGGTATAAATAATTTATTTATGTAGCAATTTTTATTTCTTTCCTCCTGTCTTCCGTCCAATTTTGGAGGGATAACAAAACGTGGCTGAGGAGGGATGCTTCATCCCTCGCTTTCTCCCTCTATTCCCTGTCGTCCAACCAAACCATGAAAGAATATTTCATCCTTTCTCCTTCCTTCCTTCCAACCAAACAAAGCATTAGAGAAGCCGATCATAGAGCGTATGATGATAGAGATTAGAGAAGCTAGATACAAAGCACACAATGATATTTATTTCTAAAATAGGTATACAAACTTGCTAAGTTAAGTGAGAGGAAGCTTAGAGAATCTAAAAATATTAAGTGCATTAAGAGTGAGGATCTAAGGGTCTTATTGAAAGATGATGAAATTATAGAGAGGTGGAAAAGTAACATTGAGAAGTTGCTAATTAAAAACTATATAAAAAGCTTTGGTTTAGAATAATGTGGTAGAGATTAGAGAGAATAATTTTTTTCTCTCGTGATCTGGGCATGTGAGGTTAAAATAGATTGCGAAAGATGATAACAGGAAAGACACTTGAGATTATATGCCATCCCTATTGAGACTTGGAACAGTTAGGTGATGATGACTCATCTTTCTAACTAAATTGTTCAATAAGATAATAGTAACTAAAATAAATGACTAATGAGTGGCATAGAACTATTATTAATATCAAAATAAATGGAATATTAACAAGTCATGGTATGAAATTTTTGGGGAGAGTTATTGAACAACGATTAATGCATAATGTTAACAACCATCTACTCCAAAAGCTTAAGAGGGTGTAACTTAATATATAAATCCTTCAACACGCCCCCTCACATGTGGCCTTCTTTTTGGTCCAACACGTGTTTTTCAATTTTTTAATTAGGGTGACGGTGAGGTTTGAACTTGAGGCCTTTAGCTCTGATACCATGTTAACAACCATCTACTCCAAAAGCTTAAGCTGTTAGAGAGGGTGTAACTTAATATATAAATCCTTCAACACATAAAATATGGTATCAGATAATCAATTTGATTCTAGTTCTGACAGGTTAGAAATAGAATTTGTTTACTTAGTAAGGAGATTAAAGAAGAGGTATAGAGAGAAAAAGAAGGATCTCTATTAGTTTCATAGATTTGGAGAAAGAATATGGTAGGTGCTTAGAAAAGGATGGAGCCACTATGAGATATATTGGCGTGCTAAAGGATATGTATAAATAAATTATGACCATTGTAAGAACAATTGTAGGAGAAACAAGTGAATTTTCAATTATTGTTGGTTTACATTAATAATCAACATTAACTTCATATCTTTTCGGGGTTAGGGATAATCTAACAAAAACACATTCAGGATGAGTTTCCATGGCGTATGCTATTTGCTTATAAAATCGTTTTCATTAATGATATTAGAGCAAGGATAAGTGACCAACGGGCCAGTAGCCTAGCGGTATCAAGCCCTTATTTCCCAAAAGGAGGTCAGGGGTTCAAGCCACAGTGGAGGCATGCATGTGTGAGTACCAACTAAGAAAAAGAGAGCAAGGATAAGTGCTAAATAAGAGGCTTGAGGGGAACGTTAGAATCAAGAGGGTTTAAGACAAGCAGGATTAAAACTGAAACATATTAAAATTACCTTTAATAAAACTAGAACCAGAAGAACGGATGTAGTTACAATCAAAGATCACGAGATCCTAAAAAGTGAACATTTTCATTACCTGGGGTCGATTATGTACAAAAAGAGAAAATTTGCGAAGATAATCATAAAATTAGAAAATGATGGATTAAATGGAGGGATGCTTGTGCTTCTGCCATATTGTGCGATCGACATTTTATAGAACGGCCACGAGATTAATATACTTTACCTAACAAAATGGGGAGTGTCAATGAAATAACGTACTCATAAAATGAATCTTGTAGAATTGTGAATGTTGATATGGATTTGAGTTAATGGGTTAAAAAAGATAAAATTAGAAATGAACAATTTCATGAGATGGTTAAAGAAGCACCTCTTAAGCATAAAATGAGAGAAAACTAATCAAAATGGTTTGGTCATGTTCATCGTCGGCCGATAACTGCACCAGTTAGGAAAAGTGGCATGGTCATGACTGATGGTAATGCTAGTGGAAGGGGAAGAGTGGAAGACCGAAACTAACATGTGTTAGATATGGAAAGAATATAATAGAATATGGTTTAATGGATGCTCTTAGAGTGGATGGTGAAATAGGATTCATTTAGTCAATACCAAATAGGCTTCGTGGAGTCTGAGTTATGGCTAGGATTGATGTGCTATTTACAAATTATACATTTGACTTTGAAATGTATAAAACAGAAAAGATTAATATATTTTAGGTAAGAGTGGGGTTATAGATTTTATATAGACTGGGACAGATATCTCCAGAATCAGTAACTTATTCCCAAAAAGCAAGCTGCATTCTTTCCTATCTTTCTTTTTTATTTCGCTGAATTCTTTCAACAGTCAATCCTTGGGATATTTATTTTTTATTTTTTCCTTCCTTCAGATCGTCTAAAACTATCCAACGATAACGGAATACCATCCTATTTTGCTTGAAGCTTTGCAATGACCAGTTGGTCAAGATATGGAAATAAGATATTTTCCATAGAGTTAGGACAAGACCTATTTTATTGCTACTACAAAAGGAAACTCTCCTTGTTTTCCATCTCAATAATTGAGGTGCATAATATTCGTTTTTAATTTTAGGCTTCTAGAGGCATGATTGTGAAGAAGTAGAATATTGCTTGAAGATGTTCCAATAAATCTGTATTGCATGGTTCTGGATGAAGTGGGTGACTACTTTCCGTATTTGAATTTCTTTTCCCAATTTAAAACAACACATGGCCACAAAAAATGGTTCCTGAAAAGTTTTATTAGGTTGACTTCTCTCTCTTTGTGCTGACTAAAATTCACTTTGTAATTTCATCTACTGTAACATCAAAACTCAAGCATGACAATCTCTTCTGTTGGTTCATTCGCACTTAGTGTTGGCAAATTTTGTCACCAAAACTGGAGTCTGTATTTTTGTATATATTTTTTTTAATGTTAGATAAGTTATGGTCAGAAAGCTCATGATCCAGGAATTATTGAAGATCATGACAAGGCAAAAAGAGTAAATTCATCATGACAAGGCTAAAAGAGTAAATTCACCTCTTCAATACCTAAGTCACCAATTAGGGTTCTTATTTTATGCATCCATATTGTAATCATGATTAGAATGCTTAAATACGTTTCCTTGTGAAAAATCGAATTATATGAAGATCAAGAAAAGTTGGATTTGAGTTACCTTTCATTGCTTTCAATGGACCCTAACTGCCCAAGGATGACCTTCCGTTACCTCCCTTTTTTTCTCAGGGGGTAGAGATTATGGAATTTGTCTCATTATTTACCCAGATTTTAGGATAGTGAGATATCCATATATTATTTTCCTCCTTACAAGTCTCCAAATCCTTTGCCAAAAACAGCCATGTTCATCAATGTTAATGAATGGATTGCGAAACCTCCCTAATCATTACCAGAACAGATCTTAATTTTGATTCGAGTTGCTTTCATATTTATGTTTGTTTACATTCAGGGGTATACTTAATCCTTTCCTATCTTCTAGCCTGACTAAGCAACTCATTTACTTCTATATTGATGTTATTACTTCTATTTTGATTCTAAAGAATGTAATAGTAACTTAGATGATTAGCCCTCACTTTTAGTCAGAAATAATTCTTAAATGATTAGCTTTTCATGAATATGGCAAGAAGACGTGTAGAAACTAATAATTTATCAGGTAGAAAGGCAATCACGATTCAAGGCATCTCTGGTCATGCGAGAAATTCATAAAATAGGGAAAAAGGGCGCTCCCACTAAGCAAATGCACCCTTTGAGCTAAGTGGTGTGCCTACCTATGGACCAAAGAGAAGGAAACATTCATGATTTCTGACAAGTCTAAATTTGCTTAGTGAGAGAGCATAACGCCAGTATTCTCCTCTATAGAATTCTAAATCGTTATCCAAGGCTCTAATATGTCGGAACTCAAACCTAGAGGGGTGGTGACTAAGTCTAATGGAATAACTAACTTTTCAAATTTTAATTTTAACTTTATTCAAATTTCACTTTATTAGTTAGTTATCCACGTGTCTCAATCACAAACATGCAAACATTCAAACATACAAATCAGTAAATAAAATAAAGGAGAGACACAGGATGTTTTACTCAGAAGGGGAAAAATCACGGGATTCTTGATATATGAGAAAGGTATTACACACTAGGTTAACCCGACCCTCAAAAACTATTTAGTTACTTCTAACCTAGATTCACGTGAAACTCTCCACCCGAGCTCTTGACGCTGCCAGTCAACGAATCTGTTTGTCACGTGATCTGCTCATAGTTGTTCAATCGTTCTTCACAAATAATGTAATTGATTTGTTGTTTGATAGTTAGGAAGCATGGATGCACCTAAAAGATCAATTAATCTGCATCGGGCACCCACACGGATCAGACACGGCTTGACACGTGTCGGACATACCAAAAGACATGGGTGGAGGCAGAGAATTTTAAATACATTTCATGTATTATATGAAAATTTTACACAATCTTTGATCTGAAAGTGCACTTGCGAAAGTCAGAACTAGTCTTGGTGCGGAGCTGAATTAATTGACCACTCGCCTTTTATTCTAGGGTGAAAAATGAGATCTCTTCTTTCATTGTATTTGGGTTTGCAGACTGTATTTTAAAGTTAAAGCTGTTCAGGGTTTGATTGTGGAGAGATTTGATGGATAGATTTTCATCTGGGGTGGAAGATTAACTAGATCAAGAGTATGTTGTCGAGCCTATCTACATACCTTGTGCCTTTTCCATTTCTCCAGCGTCAGGAGCTATGAGGCTGGAAAAACATGTACTTTATTTGGGGGTTTGAGGGAGGAATTCAAATTTCACCTAATCTACCAGGAGTTGGACTTGGAAATTAGAAGGCTTAATTGCTCAATAGACCTTATTTAGGTAAGTGGTTTAAAGATTTTTTCGAAGCGGGGTAACGTTTGAGAATTTTTTTGAAAAGGGTTGGAGTCACGAAATATGGAGGTGACAAGGATGGCTAAACTACAATGGAGTTGGGCTCATAGCTAAGAGCAGGAAGGAATTAAGAAAGGGTGGATATAACTTTGTAAATATATCCACAAGGTGATTGGAGAGGGTAATAAGGTGCACTTTTTGCCTGATAAATGGTTTTGGATGATGCTTCAAAAGGATTCTTTCTAGACCTATATGGGATTGTCATGGATAAGGACACATCAGACACCAGAGGTGTAAATTTGAGATGTCAAGTAGGGTGGTGCATGATTAGGAGGTAGAGGTGGTTGTGGAGTTGCTTGAAACTTTATTTACAATGGATTACACCAAAGGAGAGAGATCTGAGAAATGAGGTTCTTCAGGGTCGAGGTATCCAAAAAATTAAAAAAAAATAAAAAAAAAAAGAAAAAAAAAAAAAGAAAGGAAAGAAAGAAAAAAAACAGAGTCAAGGGGAGTATGTGGTTATGTGATGTTACAAGGTGTTGACTAGAGCTATAAACAGATGTTCTTCTTAAAAAGGCATATGAGGTTTTAGTGTCCCTTCCAAAGTAGGGTTTTTGCATGGTTGACAGTTCATTTGGAGAGAGCCTCGTGATTAATAATGAGCAGAGAAGTCCTCCCGAGTGTGTAAGGAGGAAAGACAATTGTGGATCATCATCTAAGAAGTCCTCCCTAGTGTGTAAGGAGGCAAGGGAGTGGTGGATCATCATCTAATTCACCCCGGAGCTTTTGGATGTCACAAGGTATTTTGGATATCATTGGTAAATTTAGTAATTTACTTAGAAAGTTAGCATGATGAAGGTAATCTGAATATCATCGGCAAATTTACTTAGAAAGTTAGCATGATGAAGAAGATTCAAAATGCAGCATCTTTGTTTGATGTGGTGTATTTTGGGAAGAGGACGACATCATTTGAAGGATGGAGGATCTAAATTATAAGTGGAAGAGCATTTTTTAGCATACTGTATAGTTGGGTGGCCAGGAGGGTGAACCTATCTCCTAAGACTAATGGGTTGCAGAGAATTTGGATTAGTCTGTTTGTTGAGGAGTATATCACTCTTTTGGTATAAGCTGCTTGTACTTTAGTTGATCCCTTCTGGTGCTCATCAATAACATCTTTTTACTTAAAAACTTGAGTTGATCCCTTTGGTGCTCATCAATAACTTCTTTTTACTTAAAAGGAGAGAGTAATTTAAGTTGGACATACTAAAAGGAAACAAGAATGCCATAAAGAACATAGGTAGAAGCAGGTGAGAGTAGACAATGACCCATGTTTTGACTTATGGTATATCCCTAGATAAAGCAAAATGAACAAAACAATGTGCGGCTGAGCCAAGTAATTGGGCATTGTTAAGTTCAATCAAGTCAAAATTTGGATGGTGGATGAACTCTACTCTAACATCACCAATCTGATAATCTGAACATGCATGCTAAATTTTCCCAGAGTCAAATATCCGAAGTCTAACTAATTAAATACCCAAGGAATTTGTAATAAATTGAAAATATATTGACCATCAAAATGAACACAGACGATAATTCTTTTTTTGGAGTCGGAACATTCCTAAGAAATTGAACAAATTGTGCTTATCAGAATTGAACTATCTGAAATCTAATTTGTTTGGGGAAGTTGGACCCCGCTTCTCTAACTGTATCTCTGATCAATATATTAACTCATATATCAAGAGTTGTAAATGTTGGATATCTAATCTGCCTAGGAAAGTAGAACTCCATTCCTATGTGATATAATTACTAAAGCATAAAGTACGAAAATTGAGATAAGTGGCTGAAACTGAAAATCTGAACTACCCTATGCTGAAAATTTGATATCCGATTTATGGAGGGGTTCCTGGGCACTGAATAGGAAATCATGTAATCTCATTCTGGTGCATATTTAGAAAATAACAAAAGGCATCCTTTTTTTTTTTTGTCGGTGAGGGGGGAGGCATAAATAGTTAAAATTCTGAAGGTTCTAGTGAAGTGTTAATGAGGGGGGAGGAGAAAGACTCTTGGTTAAAGCTTGATACTGTCAACCTGAAAGAAAAGGGAAAAAAGTAAAGGGTAAAAACATATGAGGTGGGGTAGGGATTGATGCAATTACCTAGAGACATGCTGCCATTTGGGAGCTATTTTTTGTTTTAGTTGAGTAGAGGTTCTCCTTCCTCTAAAGTTCTTCGGGTTCATCATAGTTTGTGTGTTTTTGTGTGTGTGTGTGTGTGTGAGAGAGAGAGAGAGAGAGAGAGAGAGATGCTTCTAGGTGAAATAACAAAAAGGAAAGTAACGCGAATCATAATTATCAAATTTTAGATATAATAATTGCAGGGAACAGACGGAAATGCAAGAAATATTTTTCTAAAAAAATATCTAAGGATGCCACTCTCAGCAATCAATCATTCATACTAGGTGCTATTCTTCCCTCCTGCAAAATGAGTTTTATATTTACATGCAATACCATGTAATTACTGTTCTTTAATATATTTAAAGGTTCAATGACAGAGATTGTATTTGTTGCTCTTGTGCAGGGCAAAGGTTCAGGGGCTTCAATGTTTGTACAGTCTTTGAGGGGTGATCCTTTTAGAGTGAGTTTTCATTTTTTTTAGATGCTCAGGCTTTCCTTTTTCTTGCAGAGAAGTTGATTTATTAAAAGTTCTATGCAAATTTTTCCACTACTTTCATGTTTGGAGCAGAATATTCTACACTTGGCAAAATTTCCTTACTGTTTTTTCTTTTTTCTCTCCCCATTTCTGGAAAAGTAAACTTTCTGAAATACCGGTTGGTTATTTCATTTCCCTTGCCCATTTAATGTCATTCTCTACAACAATAACTATGGTTACATACTTGGTAGTTGTGGGAGTTTCAAGAACCATTTTCTGGATCTACTTACCTGAAACATAAAAGACTTCCTTATTCATCTTTAGTCAGCTTATTATGCTTTGTGCAGAAGCAATTTTTGCTTGGAAAGTTCTCGTGTTTATTGTTGTATTAAGTTTTTCTATGCACAGTGCAATTGAGCCTCCAAATATCTTGTCTAGAAAGAGCTCCATCGTAGCTGTCTCTTTCTTTCTTGACATTCTTTCATTTATATTTTGTGACCTCGTTCAATGTCATCTTGTACATTTGTGCACTTGTTAAATATTCATTTCCCATACAATATGTTTAAATTATTAATGCATTACCCTTAGAAAATAGCCATAGTTCGATAAAATTTTCAAGGTGGCCAGACTCCATAGTTTGAAGTTAATATTTTTCCTGTTAAATATTGTATTTTAAAGGTTGTTCTTATTTTAATAGATAAATTTGGTGCATCATGCATATATTTTTAATACAATACGCATGTTTAGCAGCTAAAATTTCAGAAATCCAAGTTATGGTAATAGAATCTCTCATTTGCTTTTCGTTGCTATTTTCTTGTTTGTTAATCTGGTACCCGATATTCTGACAGTATTTGAAGTTTGAAACTATGAATAACAGTATGTTATTTTACTTACCTTTATATGGCAAAATGGCAGGTCTTTAAAAGGCATTTAGGCATTGGACTTGATAAGTTCATTTGTTTCCTCACATTGTATGTGGTGATTTGTTTGTATGTTCTGGTGCAGTCAGTGATTTTATAACTTTGTGAGTTTTGGAAACTTTCCACATGTTCTGATTTCTGGAAACTTCCTGATTTTATGTAAATTTCTGATTTTTAGCAACTTTCCTTATTGTAATAAATCCACTTCTTGTAGGATTGCTAGGGGACTCTATATAAAGGGTAGCTAGGGTATTGGAGAGAGGGTGATCGATATTATTCGTAATAGAATTGCAGGAACTATTTTGTGCTCTTCTTTTCTCCTTGTTCTAGCATTCTCTTCCTTATTTGTCTATCTCTCGCTTTCTTTAGATGACAATTATTTGTCCTCTCTTAGTAAGGCAGCATCAGTTGGTATCAGAGCACATGTTTTGGCTTTTTAACTGCTAAATCATGCCTCCACGACAACAACCTAGAGGACGTTGCACGATGCAAGGTCCAGCCGAGCCCTTAGCCCGGCAAATCCAAAACGAAGTTGAGAATCAAAGGGAAGTTGAGATGTTGAACCAACTTGACGGTTAACAACGGCCAGCCGGTTGTTGACAACTTTCCGGTGGAGGATGACCTGTTTTACATTGGAAGTTTTGCAGAAAATCCGTTTTATGTTTCGTGGTGCCATAGATTACCCGATGATCAGACCGAGACAAATATTAAAATTGAGATTCCTGAGTTTCACTGGAGTCTTTAGGCAGAGGAGTTAATCGATTGGCTAAATACCATTGAACGTTCTTTTTAATACCACAAGATTTCCGACACAAGAAGGTCAAACTCGTTGCTATTCATTTAAGAGGTAAAGCATTGGCATGGTGGGAGCAACTACGGATTACCTAGAAGTGTAGAGGTAAGCCAAAGATCATAGAATGGGAAAAGGTGAAGAAAAGGTCGAAGGAACAATTTTTGCCTTTTGATTATGTCCAAATGATGTACCAAGGTTTGCATAATGTGAAGCTAGGAGGCCGTAGTGTAGAAGATTAGACTGAACAAACGGGGTCCAAAATGTGGGACATCAGCTGCCATTTGTTGGTGGAGTTAGAGAGCAGGTTGCTACTGTTGGAAACCACCAAAATTATGGAAGGACAACAGGTCAAAATCGATGCGGAGACCTTGGGATGAGGTTTTACAACCATGGAGAGCTTGGGCATAGTTCAGCATTGTGCTGAAATCTTTTTAATGGAGGAAAACAACTTTTGATTGAGTAAGATGATGCAACCTCGGAGGTAGAGCCAAAATATGATGAGTTCCTGGAGGAAAAGGATAATGATATCTTATTGGTGATGTAGGTGAATCCTTGGTTATGCGAAGGTCACTTTTGCTTTCGACACATGAGGATATTACTCTCCGAATAGTTTATGTTGGTAGCAAGGAAGTAGGCATTGGAAAGACTACACCAATTATGACCTTTGCCTATGTGGGAGGATTTGATTATTAAAGTTGCACCCTCTCTAACAGCTTAAGCTTTTAGAGTAGATGGTGGTTAACATGGTATTAGAGCCAAAGGTTTTGAGCTCAAACCTCATTGTCACCTTGATAATTAAAAAAAATTTGAAGCACGTGTTGGATCAAAAAGAAGGCCACATGTGAGGGGCGTGTTGAAGAATTTAAATATTAACACTTTTAGAATAGATGGTTGTTAACAGCCTGGAATGTGAGCAAATAGAAAAGTAGATGCAAGGGGAGGGAGGAGGCAGGAAATCCAGATGAAGTTAAGGAATTCAACATGGCGAAAGAAGAGGACGATGACAAGAAATTTGCTAATGAAGGTGAGCAACATGGATTAGTTGATGACAATTTCCAAGTTACATATCCCACGTGGTATGGAAGAATTCGGGCGTCAAGTTGATGAAGGATTATCATGTGAGCATATTGTGAAGTTTTTATTTCGGCAAATGCCAATGAATATACTTTAGTGTTGTGTCTTGGTGGTTCTCATAGAAATGAATAGTATGCTAATGTGGCAGGCAAAACTTGTTTAGTTCGGATTAACTTTGGTGTAAAGTTTCTTACTCCTCTTGCTGATTGTTTTGAGAATGATATCATGCATCTCGAGGTTTGGAAATATGAGGACCCAACTGATTGTTATTTTAATATGCACGTTCAATGAAACCAAACAAAAAAGAAGAAGAAATAAAGCAAGATTTTGTAGCATTAATATCAAGTCTTCAATGGTATGAAATCTTGTTCATACTAATATATCTTTCCAACCCGGGGAGACTAATGTAGTGACTATAAACCTTGTGATTTGTTAAATTTGGATGCGGAAATAAGAAATGTAAATCAATAATAAGTGGAAGATGGAAAACAAAGAGATTTACGTGGTTCGACACTGGGGCCTACATCCATGGACAAAGAGTCACTATGGGTTACATTTCCATTATTCAGATGTGTGTTTTGTTTCAGTACAAAGAGCCTATAAATAGGCATGGTAGAGATAAGAAAATATGGAAGGTGTACAATAGTCAAAGGAGGCACCGTGATTGGTGGATGATTTTGCTCCACCGTTATATAGAAATATTTATAGTTGGAAGGAAATTACCCGGATCACCGTGATTGGTGGAGTATTTTGCTCCACAATTATATAAAAATATTTATATATTTCAACACTCCCCCTCAAGTTCGAGCATGAATATCATGAATGCCCAACTTGCCAAAGAAACGCCTCGAAAGATGATGAGAAGGTATCTGGAACAAAGCTAGGAAATTGACTATATCTTCCCGGGGAAAATAAACTGGAACTCGCCAAGGAAAATGACCAAAACTACGCCGGGGAAAATGGTTGGAACTAAGCTGGGAAAATGGCCGGAACAACGCCAGGAAATGGGCCGGAACTATGCCAGGAAATGACCAAAACTCGCCGGTAAATGGGCCGGAACAATGCCGGGAAATGGACTGGAACTATGCCGGGAAATGGAATGTGAAGAGTGAAGACATAGAGAATATGCTCCATGATAATAATACCAGTACTCCCCATTAAATTATAGATGGGATTACAAGAACATCTAGGCTCTGATACCATGTTAAATTTGGATGCGGAAATAAGAAATGTAAATCAAGAATAAGCGGAAGATGGAAAACACATAAATTTACTTGGTTCGTCACTAAGGCCTACATCCATGAACAAAGAGCCACTAAGGGCTACATTTCTATTATTCAGATGTGTGTTTTGTTTCGGTACAAAGAGCCTATATATAGTCATGGTAAAGGTAAGAAAATATTGCAGATGTACAATAGTCAAATGAGGCAACATGATTGGTGGATGATTTTGCTCCACCGTTATATAGAAATATTTATAGTTGGAAGGAAATTGCCTAGATCACCGTTATTGGTGGAGGATTTTGCTCCACAATTATATAGAAATATTTATATATTTCAACATGATTTTTGGAAACTTTCCATATTCTGATGCTTGGAAACTTTCCATGTTCTGATCGTTGGAAACTTCTTGATTTTATTTAAATTTAGGATTTTTAGTAACTTTCCTTTATTGTAATAAAGCTAATTATAGTAGGATTGCTAGGAGACTCCTTATAGAGGCTAATTGGATAGAGGGGTGGAGTTCTTAATAGAATTGCAGCAACTATTTTGTGCTCCTATTTGCCAACTTGTTTTATAGCATTCTCTTCCTTGTTTGTTTGTTTCTCTTGCTTTAGACCACAATTGCTTGTCCTCTCTTGGTAAGGTGGCATCAGTTGGCATCCAAGCATAGGTTTCGGCCTTTCGATTGCTTAGTCATGCCTCCACGACAATAACCTAGAGTAGGACCGAGGACGAGGACGTTGCAGGACGCAAGGTCCAGCCGAGCCCTTACTCTAGCAAGTCCAAAACAAAGTTGTAAATCTGCAGAGACAAGTTGAGATGTTGACATGTTATCGACCTGCCAGTTAACGACCAGCCGGTTGATGAAAACTTCTCGGTGGAGGATGACCTATCCAACATCGGAACTTTTTTGGAAAATCTGATTTATGTTTCGCGACGCCATAGATCACTTGATGATCGGACTAGTCGTCGTTG